GTTTTATATGGCTGAAGCTATGCGCATATTGAATTTCATGGAATTCGGTTCATAACTAACGGAGATGTCAAAAGGGCCTACTTTATTTTCTGGTCTACATTGCCAATTCACGAACTCCGATCTACAAATTTGATAAAGAATCCTCCTGCAAAACTTCATCGTAATCGGTCCATTCGTTTATGAGTTATCGTGCTAACGGACGGACGGACGGACAGACACCGCAAAATTATAAACTCGCTAGGAGCTCGTTAATAAATAAATATATGTAAGCAGCTGCAAGTTCTTTTAGTAGTACTACTAAGCAGTCTGGAGTTTAGTTTATTTATTGGTGGACACTAAAGGGCTAAGTCTAGGTATGTGTAGATTATTAGACTAGTATTATTATTACAAATTTGTAGCACATCTAATCACACAGTACTGCACTTATGAATGTGTAATTCAAATAAAGCTGAATTTGCGGAATTTTAATACTTTAGAGTGGAAACGACAATAATTTTTCTACTTACAATGTACTGCTTGTAATTCTTTATGTAATTTCATAGTAATGTTGGAGAATAAGTAATTTTTGTAATTAATGTACTCTAATAAGTAATTTAAGTAATTGTATAGAATTTCAGGTAATTTAAAATTACATACATCTCATTTGTACACCAAAAGTTACTCGTGTCACACCCCTCGCGTTAAACCCTCTGTTTATTGGGAAAAAGTGCTTGTTTTGATCACAGCTTCTCGTTGGACGAAAATTTAATATGATTTTGGACGAGCAAAAGCGTTATTGTCATGTAGAAGTCCGCAATTGCTAATTTGAAGCGGATCGGAAAATATCAGGTTACCAGTCAATTTCAGAAAAAAGAGGGTAATTCACCTTCTAGTAATTTGTTATGGACAGTGCAAAAATTAAAATCATTGGTAGGATTGACTCACTCAAACAAGAACAAAATAAAGGTTATACAGAAAAGCAAACCTGCAGTTACTTTGAGTAGGTTGGTACGAAAACGTTATAGTGAAACTATCCATAAGTAAATTAGTACAGTCAAATTAGATCAAATTTCCACGAATAGCGGAAGTAATTGAAAGAAAGCTGAAAATTGGTATAGAGTTACATTAGGGCTTGTATTCGAACATACAGTCGGGGCCGAAACTCCGAGAGCTCGAGCCGCCATCTTGGAAAAAAGGTACTCCAAATCACTTATTCGCTGATATCTCGGTAATCGTGCATTCTAGGGGTCTAGGACACTTCGCCGAATGCCCACAACGCCGACACGATTTTTTGAAGGTCCATATCGCCGATTAGGGACACTACGCCGACGGACACTACGCCGACCGTGCCCACATCGTCGACAAGTGTGCAAGGGACATAACGCCGACCATGCCCACTTCGCCGACGGACACTACGCCGATCGTGCCCACATTGCCGAAACGTGTGCAAGGGACACTAAGCCGAACGTGACCACAACGCCGACTGTTCGAAAATCCAGGCCCCTCATACTCTGTCCAGTGTATGAGTTTGCATTTTAAAAAGTTTTAAAAAACATGTCCTAAACCTACAAATAACCTAATATCCAAAGCTGCTTTGCTTCACACTCCGTCCAGTTTGATTAAGAATTTTCGTATGAGTCTGTAGTTCGGAAAAAGTTAAAAAAATATTCTGAACCTACAATAACCTAACGTCAAAAGCTACTTGGTGTTGCACACCGTCCAGCTTGATTAAGAAGTGTTGTATGAGTCGACGTTATGGTCACGTTCGGCGTAGTGTCCCTTGTTCACTTGTCGGCGATGTGGGCACGGTCGGCGAAGTGGGCATGGTCGGCGTTGTGTCCCTTGCACACTTGTCGACGATGTGGGCACGGTCGGCGTAGTGTCCGTCGGCGTAGTGTCCCTAGTCGGCGATATGGACCTTCAAAAAATCGTGTCGGCGTTGTGGGCATTCGGCGAAATGTCCCGGCCTCCATTCTAGCAAGTAAAGTTTCATATAAAAAAAGAAAGATAATAAAATATTGTATAAAAAAGATGGTATGCACTTTTTTTGTATTTTCGATATTTACGTCGATATTCCACATTGAATATAGATCATACTCTTTTTTCAGATGTAGGTGTATTACTTTCAGCGCTCGCGTGCTTTAAACATGAATATGTTTAAAAAATTGATTTAGTTGACATTTTAGGGCCTGTTGACCAGTGAAGAGAAGGGCAGTTTTATCTAAAATTAAACACTTACGACATATCGTACTCACTCAACAGATGTGTGTTTTGTATTTCTCGTTAATACAATCACTGTTAATGTATGGAATTGTTGGCTGGGTGTATTTTATGCTAGTGAATCCTTATACAGTCTTATACAGGGTGGTGCCTAGCACGACGCAGCACAGGGATGTCAATGGTAATTTCTTTATAGTCAATTACTAGCTCCCCTAATTATTTTAGAGTAAAAGTCTAAAGAAGTTTTTGTAGAGAAAAAAATACTGCATCTGTTCATACGATTACTTATAATATTCCGTTTTTCAAAATCGTAGAAATTAACAAAATAGAAAGGTTCATTTTTCAATAAAACAAAATCCTCCAGTTCAGAAAAATATCCAAAATTACTGCCCAACATGCACTCTCATTATACACGCCAGGAAGACCATAATACACTTTTTCCAAGGTCTGAAAAAACAATCGGTAAACGATGTGCTCAGTACATTGCTCCAAGGCTTTATTCCATTCTACCGCGCGAAATGAAAAAAATATCTACGTATACCGCTTTCACGAAAAAAGTTCAGGTGTGAATACTGGAACAGCGCTATGTACTATTTCGCGAATTGTTAATGGAATTGTTTAGTTTAGTTTATTATTTTTAGTATTTTTTTTATGAAATGAAGTCAAGTTTGATTTATATTTTTTTTGTAATTGCCCCATATCCATTACAAGTAGTTCAAACGACTTCGGATTTTGGCAATATTTATTTTTCTTAGTTTCTTTATGTAGGTATCTTTTGTATTCGGCTATATAGTATAAAAATAAATATATTATGTACCTATGTATTATTTCCTTCTCTTAGGTGGTCAACAGGCCTTAACAATGTCAGTCAATTTTTTAAACATATGTTTAAAGCACGCGAGCGCTGAAAGTAATGCACCTGCATCTGAAAAAAGATGCTCTATATTCAATGTGGAATATCGACGTAAATAACGAAAATACAAAAAAAGTGCTTTCTTTCAATTATTTCCGCTATTTTTCCTAATTTGACTGGCCTAAATATGCAGTCGCATACCAAAAATTACTAAAATATCTGTAGTAAAAAATGACACTACCTACCTACTTTCTAATATACTCGTACACATATAGAGATAAGAAACAAACTAATCTCGTTGAATTGAACTTAAACTTAATTCCGAGCATTATTTTCGTTGATTAGGCCATAACGCAATTTAAAATGTAGAAAAAGTCCACTCAGTCTAGAAACATACTCAAGAGCTTAAGAATAATGTAAAATAGTGTCGTTTATGATTTTTTCCCCTTTCACGGCATCCCATGGGTGCCATAAGGCTATTTTTTAATTCTTGATATCAATGTGAGACTTATTAACACAAAATAAACTAACAGAAACATCATTTTTTTGAAGCTGTGACATCGAAAACCTAACGGTATGTGATATACACAGTTCTCCATTCAACTCCAAAGCATTCCGTGTGAGAATCTTTAGTTTTCGCACACCTATTGCAAGAATTATTATGCAAAGTTAGTATAATAAAAAAAAATATTCAAATTTAAAGGCGTTTCAACAACGCATATACGAGTTTTCCCTGTGCTATAAAATAAACGAGTTAAGCAAAATAGAAATTGAAGGTTTTTTATGAAATTCACGTAAATTGCGGTATTCTCCGCAAAAATCAAACTAAAGTTGAGTTTGTTAAACTTCTACATTAAAAGTTTCAAGTAAGTACTTCATAAAGTGAAAATTCTGTTTAAAGAGGGTATACGATAAGCGCCTGTATTTACAAAGTGAACACCCTAAATGGTAAGAAGCAATAAATTGCGATAGGTAAGAATAAGGAGAATCTGCCGAAGTTGTAAGGATATTTCAATGATTTCTCTATACGAAAATGCGCCGACAGCACTAAAAGCAGAAATCAATTAAAATGGTTTCCTTTTGTTTGAGAAAAAAAAAGCAATTTTCCCTAAAGTGTCAATCCGTTTATTTATGAAGGAAAGCTACTACTTACAAACTACCGAAAGGCATTAAAAACCTCTAAACAAATTAAAAAGCAGTAAAATAAATAATACAACGTTACAACCACATAACTTAATAATAATTACCCAATGAAAAGGGTTAAATAATTTACAGCACTATCAAATCTCATCGCGTCACAATTTATCACTGGAATGCTTATTTAATAGCCCCGAGGCTCGTCGGATTTACACGAACATTAACCGAACACATTCTTGCTTCATAAATTGCGTTCAACAAGTAGCTTATATACCGTGACGGTTATATTGTTATTACTGTACTTATGGTTGCTAACAGATGTAACCCTACTACCATTACATTACCGGGACATTAGACAATTTGTGCTCAAATATTAATAGTTAAACGCTTATTAAAATGGGCTTGAAACCGCACGTTTCGGTTGTGAATTTCGTTATAACTATAAACGGAATTATACGATAAAACTCACCCTCTACACCTACTAACAGTAAGACGATAGAAAGCACATTCACTAATCGACAAGAAGGATAAAACTGGAATAGATGTTAGATATTTGAAGCGGAATGAGGAACTGTAAGCTACTAGGTATTAAATAAAATTCCTTTAGAGATACAGAAGGTGACAGGCCGTAATTTTGTCCGACCTCCCGTAGTTAGGATTGAGATGTTTCAATGCTTTTATGCAAAACTAAGCTTTTACACACAAAAACTCATAAATTGCGGAAAGGCAATAAGTGTCAGTTGCGCAAGATACACTTGCAAGGTTAGCCAGGTAAATTATTTCTCGAGAAATATAGAAAGCACATACCTACAAATTTCGAAACTTTCTATACTTTTAGAACTTATAGACCTACTTGGTACAATATTGCATAAAAATAACTCACCGAATTGACTTCTCATCCACGGATAAAGCGGACTTGGTAACGCGGCGGGATTATTTGCAGTCTGTTGTTGTTGCTGCTGCTGCTGCTGCTGTTGTTGTTGCTGTTGTTGAAGAGAGGGTTGTTGGTGTGGAGCATTTTGTTGATGCATATTCCCACTTTGCTGAGCGCCGTACAGTAAGTGCGGCTGCTGGTGGTGACCTTGAGGGTGGTGTTGAGGGTGCTCTTGCATGTGGTGACCCATGTGATGATTACTCATACCTTGGGACGTATCCAAAGGTGGGCTGCCCGTACTTGAACCTAGAACTCCCCCGTGGTTTACGGCAGCCGCTTGTAATTTACAGCTGGCGTACACCACCGGTGTTTGGTGACCATTGGGCGCTCCATTGCTCACCATTTGTAAATTTGTCGGACTATCCGGCCTATACCCTTGATTTCCATCCATCTGTTGATGTTGAGCCCCATAATAAGCAGGATTTCTCATGTCCATTCTATCATAGGGAGGAAACCTAGGGTAGGGCATACCTTGAGGAGGTTGCCCTGCGGCCGGGGGACCGCCACCATAGTGGTGGGACGGTATTCCTTGTCGTAACCCAACAACCGAAGGATCACCACAAGAGTTAGGATCACTTTGTACGGCACCTCCACCTTGCGGCACCTGCACTGCTGCTCCATAATGTTGATGCTGATGCGGGTGTTCCGCTGACACAACTCCACCATTACGCATGTCCGGCATATACGAATTAGCAAAGTAAGAACTCATGCTCCAAGTTTGAGATCACCAATCACAATTAAGTGTTAGTGAAAACACTATTACTAAATTCACTCACAACCACGATTAATTGAAATTGTATCGTCCATCTTTGATAATTTAAACTCAAACAAAAACTCCACTTCAAGCACTTTCAAACTTGGACGAATCCTCTAAGTTTAGTATGTTCACGATTTCGAGGCGGCCAGCAGTCGCTTGTCTCTTGTCAACTGAAGATACTGTAGAATTTGTTGTATCACACCCTACAAAAAAACCGAAATCATTAGTACATAGAATCGAATAAATCTGAAAAGTACACTACAACTACTATTTTATTGTTGTCACCTTCCATCTTTGGATGTAAGAACATGATGGTGCTCCAATGGCAAATGGCCAAGTATACAACTAGAGGCCAGACAAGAAAATGAGTGACATATGTAAAATGAGACGGCTCATCATTTGGGTAACACGCTTCATATACACATGTGCCCGCGGAATGCGACACTTGCAGCTAGTTAGACCAGAATTCCGAAAAGAAGGAAGTTCTCCACCATTATGTATAGTCATTTAGAGAAGTATAACATGACAGATTAAATATTTTAAAACATAAAAATTCATTTGAATATGTATATTCTATTCGTAAGTTGCCAAAAGTTGTTTGATAGAATGTTAACAAGTGCAAAACCCACTTTGAACATTTTAAATATGATTAATGTCGCCGAATTAATTTTTTTCTCGTTATAAAGATGGAATATTAGCAAACTAAAAATTACG